GTTTCGAAATTTCATGCAATGAGATGACTTGGAGAATGAAACACCTGTTCAAAAGTTTTATGTTTTAAATACCGGAAATAAGTAATAACTGGTATGCTTGAAATAACCAAAAGTCCGAGAGCTTAGCACCGAATGAAAAATATGTGAGAAATTATGAATGCATTCGTCTTTAAACTTTCAGTATATGTAATATATTAAGTGTATTATTTAACATGTTATTCTCTTTAAATTATTCCATTATTGATTATAAGATTATCTATACAATACTCTAATACATACTAAACACTGAGAAAATTAAATACTACCTCTGACAAAAGGTTTTCGATCAAGCCTTTCAAGGAGTGAAATTTTTCACATAAACGAATCCAGTTGAAATCACTAATTCTCCTGAGTTTTCCATATATTTCGAACAAACACGACAATACTTTTAAACTTCAAAATTACAAAGATTTCAATGTTTCCAAGTACTTTCGAAAACTTTACAGAAAAGAAAATCATATGTTAATGTATGAACAATTGTATATATAAAACTTGAAACACATGAAACTGAAATGTTCTATCCATTTAGAATTGAACAAAGATGTACAATACAAGACACATTTAGTTGTTGAAGAAAATACGTCTACAGACTAAATTCTGGAATTAAACGACTTACGTTTCACGCAATCGCCAAGCGAATGAAGGAAATTCTTCGAAATTATGCGAGACGTCGAACAGCACGTAGAGTGACAGCATTACCAGTCGTTCAAGGAGACACACGTACGACTAAATAAATAACTTCATTTCATGCAATCGCCTTGCGACTCGAAATGTGCGACGCACGAAGGACGAAAGCACATTGAAATTACCAACCGAACGAACGACGACTTACTTAGCGTTTGTAATTGTTTTCTCGATCGAGCTCCCGAGGCAAAACCTCGTCGCGTACGAACTTGTCGAGAGACGTCTCGATCGTGAAAACAGAAAGAGAGAGAGAGAGAGAGAGAGAGAGAGAGAGAGAGA